TGACATTGACTATGTAACTATAAATTGCATCAAAGCTGAAGTATTTTCGTTAGAGATACTGGAACTGAACACATTTATTTTTTTCAAATTACAATAGTCACAGTCTCTAATCCAGCACGGACACTGGCCATACTGGCAAAAAATAGCACAAACGACAACAATGTTTGAATGACAGCTTTGCTCACATGGCAAGTGGGCTCCCCAAACTTTTCAGGGTAAGGGTCACTTCCACAGATTTACACCAGTGATTTTATAGCAATAGGGAAATAATGGATCATTAAAGGGACTGCTTGTGGTAATTGAACTCTGTATTTTCAAACCCTTTCTTCACTTCTTCTATAATAACCAAAGATTCAGTTTAGCCTATTCAGTCATATTTTAGGTACTAAATATAAACTTGACTTTTTAATATAATTATTCATCATGTCAGAGGCTATCATGTGAGAATTTTAAAATTCGAAGTAATTAGTCAATTGCCTGTTAAATTTTCAGCTAGTTGATTTGATTTACATAACATTGCATGGTACTAAAATCTCACTTGACACACTTTTTGAAATATTGAAGCGCAGATACCTTTAAAGGAAAGCTACTCTCACACCAGCCCTATAATTTGCTAAGGCTAAACCTTTAGCTTTCCTAAAAGTAGCTGGAAGTCACCATCATTTGATGGAATAGGTCCAGGACTTTATTTTTAAAAGGAGCTGCAAGTCGCTTCTGGTGTGAGAGAATTGGCCGCCTGCAATGACGTTGCCCAGGGGATGCCTAGATGGTTTTTTAATGTTTTATCATCCTTTTGGGAGGCTTCTCTCATATCCCTGCATGATTAAAAGGCTGATAAAGGGCAATTGTGGTAGGACAAAAGCAGTTTTGGAAAGGGCTTACCACACAATATTGTGTCTTGAATTGTGATTGGATCGTTTGTTTTCATGGACAAAAAAATCTGACAATGAATCCAATATCACTTTTGTTCTGCCATGCTCTCCTGTGCAATCGTTTCCTTCCTCTGCAGTTCTGATATTGCAAGCAAAGTCTCACAAGAATGCCTCAATGTATGGCTACATAGTGGCAGCAAAATAAGGGGGAAGAAAAATAGAAAAAGCATTGCATTGGCCAGGGTGAACACAGGTAGAAAATGAGGCTGTCTCCCAGGTATGCAAAGCAGTCAGCCAGTTAGTTCCTTCTCACTCACTTCTCATCTTCTCAAGAAAAACATTGACACTGATTGCCCTCTTCCTTGTGTATCTCCTCCCTACGTGAATCTCTACCCATTACCTCAGGAGGTGGCTGCTGTCAATCAAAGTCTGCTCGAGCAAAGAGCCCAATAACTGGCAAAATGCCCTTCCTGAGTTGCCTTTCTCAGTCTCTCTTGATCGGCATGAGATACTCTATGCCAGGGTTGGGAAAGACTGTTTTTGTGTGTTTGACAATCATAGAATCATAGAGTTGGAAGGGACCTCATGGGCCATCCAGTCCAACCCCCTGCCAAGAAGCAGGAAAATTGCATTCAAAGCACCCCCGACAGACGGCTATCCACTCTCTGTTCAAAAGTCTCCAAAGAAGAAGCCTCCACATCCTTCCACAGATGGTACCTTTTCTAGCAAAAAGAAGGGTCTTGCTTTTCCTAGAACCTTCCAAGAATGGAAAATCAAATTTAAAATGGTCCCTGAGCTAATTAATTTTTTAAATTCCAAATTTTAAAGCAAAAGTAGAATTTCAGATGCTTCTAATGTTATATAAGGAGGTGGCTTTTTGTGGTGGTTGTTGTTTTGCAATCCATGCGGGCTCCAGAATGATCTAGGGCAGAAACCTGTCTCCAAAGCTCCTTCTACACTGCTCAATATCCCAAGATCTGATCCCAGATTATCTGCTTTGAACTGGATTATATGTGTCTACTGCCAGATAATCTGGAATAAGAAGATAATTTGGGGTCAGATCCTGGGATATAGGAGCTGTGTGGAAGGGACCCAAGAGTCATTACTGTGAAGGGTGACAACAAAGAAAATTTTCAGGGGAAATATAGAAGGTGGATAGTATATTTCCACAATAGCAAATGCATTGTCTGTTTTTAATGGGGTTCTGCAAAATAGGGATTGGAGTCCCAAACTACACTTTTTCCATCCTCAGATCTGCCACAATGACTACATTTGAATCCATTGGTATGCATGAAAAGTGCATTTCTAGAAAGTCTAGAAATGGGGCAAATGGGCCACCTTTTGGGAAGGTTGTTTTGCCCACCACAACTCTACAGAAAATCCATAAAAGATTGCAATATATATCTAGCTGTTCCCCAATTTGAGCAGTGTAATGTTCAAGTTGATATATTCAGTTGGCTTTAGGGTTCCCTTTGTGTTTTTTATTGTGTACCTTCATTACTTTCCTTCTAGTGCTCTTTTTTTTTACTTTAATGAGCTTTATTTATATTGTTGAGCTGAACTGATTTCCTCTTTACATCTTCAAGGATTACATAGCTTTCCCACAGTGTATGTCTTTAGATTATTGGGTACATTGATGAATGTTGGATGGAGAGAAGACAAGATGGGCTAAGCATTGGTCCATGAACATATCTCATCTGGAGCTGTGCGTCTAGAATCATAGAATCATAGAGTTGGAAGAGACCTCATGGACCATCCAGTCCAACCCCCAACAAACAGTAAAATTGCATTCAAAGCACTCCCGAAAGGTGGCCATCCAGCCTCTGTTTAAAAGCCTCCAAAGAAGGCACCTCTGCCACACTCCAGGTCAGAGAGTTCCACTGCTGAACAGATCTCACAGTTAGGAAGTTGGATTGTTGTAGGTTTTTCAGGCTATATGGCCATGTTCTAGAAGCATTCTCTCCTGACATTTCACCTACATCTATGGCAAGCATCCTCAGAGGTTGTGTGGTCAGGAAGTTCTTCCTTTCTCCTTTCCTATAGTTTGAAGCCATTGTTCCATGCCCTAGTCTCCAGAGCTGCAGAAAACAAGCTTGCTCCCTCCTCTCTAGGACTTCTCCTCTCATATTTATACATGACCAGCATGTCTCCTCTCAACCTAAAGCAACTTTCTTACTATGGATGCATATTCACTGGCACTTTTCTCCAAAGGAATGTTGAATCAACTCTGAGGCAGTTGCATAATGCACAGAGCTGATTTGGCTTAACACAGGGCTATGCCACTTAATGTGGCCTTGAACCACATTAACAGAAGTCCAGAGCTTCCCCAAACTTCAGAGTAACCCATAACTTCTGGCATATGTAACCAAGTGTGCCACATCCTATTTGAGAAGTGATTGTGGTTGGTTATGGTTACACCACCATCCCTCTTTCCCCAGGTTCTGGCAGCCGAGGGACAGGGAATGGCACCTACCTTGCTCCCTAAATCTGCTGGTTGCAATGCCCGAAAATGAGCCTCTTCATAGCTCAGTGTCTGGAGTGGCAATATCCAGAACAATGAAGCTGTCTGAGAAGGGAAGGGGGGGAAAGGAGCAATTGCTCACTCTCCCCTCCCCTTTCTATGTCACTTCATTGCTCTGGAAATCAGCACTCCAGGCAGTGTCCAGCTCCATTTTCATGCCTGGTCAATACTGCAAACTGCAGCTCGAGGGGGGCAAAGCAATAGTCATGGTTGAATTGGCAAACTGGTTCCAGAATCACTCAGCCATGCAGATACCATCCAGCCACCAGGACAGCTCAAGGCTGCACAGTTTAGCTTCTGCCCAGCTACCCAACCAGCTTGGGTGCAGAGAGTGAAACCTCCAGCAATGCTGAACCCAAGTACTCCGCTCATAATCAGCATTACTGTTTTTGCCCTGTCAAGATGCACCCTTAGTGACTGAGGAACAATTAGGAGCAAGTGCAGGTGGTGGTAAAAAAGCCATTGGAGGAATATGGTGTTTCCCGAGTATTTCCTTAGGGAGTTGGCATGGTCACAGTCACCCTCATTGTGAGATCTATCATTCCTTGTCTTGAGAAAAGTAAGTTTTAATATTTCCCTTTTTAAATCCCGGTTGTTTTAGCACGCTAAACAAAATAGCTTAAAATGAATTAATGCCTTTGATTTCGAACCCCACTAATTCACATTTCTCCTTGCTGCTTAAAATTGGTCCACACAGATTAATCAACAAAAGTTTCTGTTGATTAATCTGTCAATTAATACATTTAAAACCTGAGCCTTCTACATAGCATTCCAGCCTGGGAAATTAATGAGAATTCAACTGCAGCTGGACCCATTCTGAAAAGGTGTTAAAGAATGACTTGGACCAAAACATGCTGAGTGATGCCAATGCTAATGAATTGCTGCTGAACTGTCCAAAGACTGGGTTCAACCAAAAAGCAAATCAAAATAAACAAAAGGCTTAAACTGTAACGTCACTCCTCACTACAATACTTTCTATACTAAAATACAGAGTTGTACATGAATCAGAATACCACAATATAAAGGGTGACGATAAAAAGGACTTTGTTAACCCACTCTCATTTGGATTGATTATGCAGGAAAAATCAGGGGCATTGCCCAATTTTCAAATTAACACAATCATGCAACAGGTGTTTTACCATGTTGTCAATTCGTATGGTAATTAGTGTCCTTTGGAAAGTCCAGATTCCCATCTTTTGAGTGATGATGATTATGTCAAGGTCTCATCCATCCTCCTCCAACCATAATTCAAATGTGGTCACATTATTGGACAAAAGGTTACAATTGTGATCCTCAAAATAAATATGGCTGAGGAGATAGATTCAGTACAATTGCTCATTTTGAATCTCACAGTTTTGCCCAAAGGTGGACTCATAACTTCTAGGCAGGTGATTTTGTACAGACATTTTGCAACTCTTCGCTGTATTAGAACTTTCATTTAAACCAAAACAACAGTAATGGGAAACAACAAAATCTTGATTTATCTCAAAGTTGGAAAAATCTTGGTTGTGAAAAGTGGGCATTAGATAGTAGCCATAGAAACTGAGCACGCAATTCTTTTGCAAATGTAATAATGTGGAATGAAAAGAACTGTTTGTTTGTTTTACCTTCATCTCTTTTGCGCTTGTTGCTTTCAGCACTGGGAGATGTAATTCCCAGAATCCCACTGATGGAGTAGGAGGAGCCTGCTGAGTCCGTGCTTACGGATGACACTTGTGTCACCGACCCCGTTGAGGCTGTGATAAGAAAGAAATGAATCAGCGCACAGGCACATGAAAAAAAACATATAATAATGATAACGTTGTTTCTGCCATGACTATAATGTAATAGCTCTATCTACAACACTTCTTCAGTGGTGCCATTGGAAAGAGGGAGGGAGATAAGAAAAAAAACAAGAAACTTTGCAGCCTGGATGCATGCTTAAGCATTTACATGTAATTTTGTGGCATGTCGCAGAATCTGACCTTACATTGTTTGTTTTAAGTGCTGTGATAAAGAAGATTAGTTTACACAGCACTGTATTAAATTAGTTTATACAGCACTGTATTAAATTAGGAACATGTACCTTTGCAAGCACTGCAGAAATAGTTTACTTGTCCCCACTTTTATTATATCCTAGCTTCGGTACCCAGCATTACCCAGGTTATTTGAAAAAGTCAATTTTTAATTGTACAAATGCGTACGGTTATGGATTAACTACAACTCCCATCATGCCAGGGTAACCCAAGAAACTCCATCAGTACTTAAAGTTTGTTATATTGGGTAAGTTTGCTCTAGATGCATTCTCAGTGGGGTTCAGTGTGCTCTCTTGATGTAGGGTAAACTACAATTCCCACTATGGTGAGTCAGTCCTCTCAAACCCCTCCAGTATGTTGAGTTAGTCATGAGTTCTGTGTGCCAAGTGTGATCCGGGTCCATCATTGGTAGAAGTCACAGTTTCTCTGGTTGTGGATGAACTACAACTCCCAGAAAGAGAAGTCAGCTCCCCTTCCAGTAATCAAATTTCAGCATATCAGATATGTTGTTTTGTCCAGGTCCATCAGTATTTGGGTTCACAGTGCTCTTTGGATGTAGATTAACTACCCCAAATCAAGGTGAATTTTCCTTAAAGACCAGTATTTTATGCTGGCCATGAGGGCTCTGTGTGCCAACTTTGGTCCAATTCCATCTTTGGTGGAATTCAGAGTGCTCCTTGATTGCAGGTGAACTATAAATCCCAGTACCTACAACTCCAAAATGTCCATGCCAATTCCCCTCAAAACCCACCAGTATTCAAATTTGGGCATATCGGGTATGCATGCCAAGTTTGGTGCAGAACTATCCTTGTTTGGGTTCATAGTGCGCTCTGGAGGTAGATGAACTACAACTCCTATAAATCCCTCCAAAGACCTCCAGTATGTTTTGTTGGTCATGGTGCTTCTGTGTGCCGTTAGTTCCAGGTCCAGTGCTGGTGGAGTTCAGAGTGCTCTTAGATTGCATGTGAACTATACATCTCAGTACCTACAACTCCTATAAATCAGAGTGAATTCTCCCCAAACCTCTCTAGTATGTTCAGTTGCAGATCAATTCCTTTATTTGCTGTGTGCCATAGGGAAGAATAGGAAAGGTTTAAGAGAGAGGCAGTGGACAGGGTCATGCAAATTCCACACCAATGGAGAGAGTAAGAAACACTGGGATGCCTGTGGTGGAGGAAACAAATAAAATCTAGGATGAAATAGTCCCCGTATGAAAGACTTCACTTGGGCGGTTGACAACACAGTGTTTGTGGAGGACATCGGCAGGCTCTTGTACAGAAGTGGGACCTATTGTTGTTTGTGGAGGCAGGAGCTCGTCTGTGTAAGTGATGCTCCAGCCACATACACACATACATATTTTCACTTTTATTATGTGTAGAAATATCTTTAATATCCACAGGTGCCAAAATAAAAATGGAGTGGATTCTTGCACCTTTAATTGTTGTGTCAAAAAGGGAATTTTAGCATTTACTACTTCGTATGCAACCTGATAACAACCAATACCTGCTGAAATTCCTTTTCTACATAAATATTAAAGGTGCAGGAGCTCTCTATAGTTCTCATTCTTTCCATTCTATGTATGTTAGTTAATGTTTGGTACTCCAGATATTTTGAATCTCAGCATCCAGAAGTCCCTCCCAGCTTGATGTATAGCCACAGATTCCGGGCACCCAAGTGCAAGACATTTAGCAGATGAAATGAGCCTGTATGCCATGAGAGATAGTGAGAGAGGACTGTATCCAGCTGCCAAGTGATTTTCCAACCAATAAGAAGGTAATACTTTTTAATATTTAAAATATTTCATAAACATCTTATTATTAACTGATAAAATAATCTTGTAAAGAAGACCAATGTTACCATTTAATGTAATGAGGGGAAGCACTGTAACTTAAAGAAATACAACCTTATGATAGAGCTTGGAAGGAATTATGCAGAGGGAAATATTTCAATCTGCATAAAGAAAAGGGGGCAATTTAAATCAATCCAAAACTTTTCATGAAAACCTGCTTCACAACCAAGTTAAACTTAAAAGAAATGGCTCCTCTCATTGACTCAGCAAGACTTTCTTGTTGTGTGCCTTCTAATTGTTTTTAATGTATGGTTGCCAAGAGTGGTGGTTTGCCTTTGCCTTCCTATGAGGCCAAAAATGTGACTGGGTTCACTCAGTGGGTTTCCATGGCCAAGCAGAGATTTGAACCCTTTCTCCAGAGTCATAGTTCAGCACTCAAACCATTTCATAATACACCAGCCAGATTACATTGGCTATAATATTTTAAATGAGTAGTTTGAGTTAACTGAATTGCTCTTAAACAACAGTGTGTTCCTATGTCTCTAACAGCAGAAAGTAGACTCCACTAGAAGAAGAAGAAAATGAATTAAAGTCCATCACTCTTTGAATAGTAGAGTTAGATGGCATGCATCTGAATTAGGTAAAGGATGGGCAGAAGCAGAAGAAAGTTTCCAAAGTTTTGCTACCTCTTCACTCAAAATTGTAAATGCACAAAGCATTATGGAAGGGATGGTTGATAGAAGAAAAAAACACATTCAAAACTACTTACTGACTAATGATGCAGAAAATGTTATGAATAACTATCCCTTTCTTGATTTATTACTTTAATTATCTGACATTCTATAGACCCCCATTAGCAGGATGGTTTTTTTTTTCTTTTTGGTTTAGATTTCAATTTTCTGTCTCATGGTGAAAGCTATTTATCATAATAATCAGTAAAATTCAAAACCTTTTAGCAGTATTTATAAAATTCATTTACCATGTTCAGCCCTTGGAGAATGACAAAGAAGGTGCATTAGTACGTGTGCTGAAGTGTTCTATGCAGAATTATCTGCCCATAAGAGTGATTAAAAGTTCTTTAGAACGAATTATATTATAGATATATATGTTTCTTTAAAAGTATATAAAAGTTTCCCTTACCTATGCTGTGACTAGAGGCTGGGACTTGCTGGTTGGGTGGTTGCTGTACCTTTGTCCGTATAATCCTGAATAATAGACAAATGGCTACTTACTGTTAGGTATACAACAACAGAAAACAAATTAACTGTGCAGCATAATTAAGCATAGTGGGTGTCCAAGCAAATTGTTCCAATTCATTTGTCACAAAATTTGTGAGTATCTGAAAAACTGGATGACGCTGAAATTTAACTAAATATGATGTTGGCCATTAATGAAAATGAAATGTATGTCTATTTTAAGACATTCACAAATGTCACTAGGAATTCCTTGCAGTCTTGTGAACCTCTGGATAGCCATTGAAGAAATGGGCCAAGTCATATGCCATATAAAAGCATGCATACATTTCCACACCAGTGGTCCCGATTCATAGGTATTGTACTAGAAAACTAACTCTTAGTAATTAAATCAGTGGTTCCAAAGCTTTTTTTGATCAGGGACCACTCGATCAGGGACCACTTTGACCAGGGACCACTCTCTAACATTAGTACCAAAAGGGTTACAAATCTGTTTTTTGTCAACTTTGGTTTGGTTATTTGGGGGTGCTGATTCAGAAAATTGCATTGGATAGACCACACCAGCTCTAGTTTCTGATACAGAACATATGCCATCCAGTAATCACCATCTGTTCTCCCACAGAAAACCATATCTAATGTGGTCTTCCCAATGCAATTTTCTGAACCAAAACCTGAAATAACCCCAGGAAGAGTCCTAAAACAAAGACACCAAGGAATCCCCGCTTTCAGGTGTCACATGGAACGGCTCTGCTCAGGAGGAGGAAAAGAAGCAGCAGTCAAGAGGCTTGTTGTCGTGCCTTTCATTGGTAGTTAGCCTCTCCCCTCCCAGCATCCTTGTTGCCTTGGCAGTATAAGAGGGTTTTGCAAGACCAGTCGCTCTTAATGCAACGGTGTAATAATGGTGAGGTCACGGGTCATATTTTAGTTTTTGGGGACCACTGGTGGTCCATGGACCACAGGTTGGGAATCACTGAATTAAATATATACAATGTCTCGTTCAATGCTGTTTATGATCTTTAAAACAAAAAGGGGAAATTGGTTATTGTTGATGATTGGCACTTTTATTCATAGCCAACAATCCTGGCAGTCAACTTTCCACCTTCATGAACGCAATGTTATGAGAATTGGCAGGACGTGCCTTGAGGTTATTGAAGAAAGCTATGAAGCTCCAGATACCACCATAGGACATGCCATGTTACCTCTGTTGGGTTTCCTCTCTGTTTATTCCTATAGATTCATTACATCAAAATACAGAAGTGTTCTGGGTATTAATATTACCATAAACTGAGGTTTGGTGACACCTTTTTAAACTGATATAGTTATCTGAGCTCATTCTTTACTTCAAAATATTTATTTACACCACCACAGCCATGGAATACTCAATTGTGTGCTCAATTGTTTCTGTGCTCAGGGCAATAAAATGTATATATTTTTTAAAAGAACATCATAGAAAAGAAATGTTAATATAAAATAGTAAATAGTGTTATAACTGAAAAGAAGAGGTGGGTGAAGTCAACACAAGGAAATCCACTCTGCACATTTTCCAAGTGGTGCAAATGGGAATTGTGACTGATTTAAATAAGAACAAGATTGATGCACTCGCTACAGAATGATCTTTATTTAAATAGCACACTGCTAATTGACATAATTCTCCACACAGTATCTATATGTCTGTTTTAATATAATATTTTAGCTAGAATCTTCTGGACTGATTATTTCCTCTGTGGCATGGTCACGATCCCAGCTTTTTCCTAGTTATTACACAGTTTTGTTTATTTAATGTTAATCGTTTGCACAAAAAAATCCTGCCATTTTTAGAATTTTTTTTCAATATTCCAGAACAGCCACAAAAATAATATCAGTTCCAAATGATTGTATCTGTCTCTCTCTCCCTTTGCATTATTTGCCAATCTGTAACATAAAAAATGATTACTATGTTTCAATGTAGTTTTGCTATGTTCCTCCTCAACAACCAATTAGTATGCAGCCCAGTTTGACTCATCCTCTCTTTCCCCCAATTTTTATAGCAGAGAATTTAAAAAAACTATTTGGAATTATCTTCCCACCAAAAGGTTGACTTAAAATAATAATAATAATAATAATAATAATAACAACAACAACAACAACAACAACAACAATAACAATAACAATAACAATACATATAAGACAGTATCTTATTTTCAGGGAAACACTGTATGTAACAAAATTTGAAAATGTTTCTGTTTCTGGTTTGAAAGTGTTATTTCCTGTTTAATTGTGCAGTATTCACTTTGAAGTAGTTGTTATACTCCAGAAACTATGTTGAATTCGTTGAAATTCGATGAGATGTTTATTAAAAAACGATAGCAAAAACGTACTGCAGGATGTCCCACAAAAACAAAGTTTTTGCAGTTTAATAAGCTTTTTCCATGTTTTTATGATAGAACCAATTACAAAATGGCATTTATAACCCAGGAACAAAAATTATGTTACAATGTTTTATTTTCCACAGATGGCACTAAAAAAATAGTACCCAGGCCTAAGAAGCATATTAAAGAACATGTTAAATGTATTTCCAGCTCACGAAATATCCTCGGATGACCCTAAAAATGTAGGAGACCAGAAGGATGGATGCATAAATCCTTGATGAGAAGTAATGACTTCTGAGCAGAATGGAAACATTCACAGACATTAATCAGAAGTATCCATTGTCTAAACAGGACAAGGTCTCTCTTCTTGCAATGGCAACAGATAATGTGCCCACCCCTCTTAAATGGGCCACACATTTGCAGTTTAAAGATGTTGCTCTACGTAGCTTTTTTCCCTCTTTATCTCCACAAAATCAGCAGAAGGTGATGACCACTTTTGAAGTAGAGCTTCCAGGGATCTTAGTGCAGAAGTCAGAAGCCATCTTCATTCCCAAAATAGGAGCCCCCGGTGGCGCAGTGGGTTAAAGCCCCATGCCGACAGGACTGAAGACTGACAGGTAGCAGGTTCAAATCCGGGGAGAAGTGGATGAGCTCCCTCTATCAGCTCTAGCTCCTCATGCGGGAACATGAGAGAAGCCTCCCACAAGAATGATAAAACATCAAATCATCCGGGCGTCCCCTGGGCAACGTCCTTGCAGACGGCCAATTCTCTCACAACAGGAGCGGTCACTCCTGACATGACAAAAAAAATCCCAAAATTGTTTAGACGGATTCAAGTTTTATGTTCCCTTATTACTGCATCATCTACTTCTTGTAGACCAATGGTTCACAACCTGTGAGTCCCCAGGTGTTTTGGCTTACAACTCCCAGAAATCCCAGCCAGTTTACCAGCTATCAGCATTTCTGGGAGTTGAAAGCCAAAACATCTGGGGACCCACAAGCTGAGAACCACTGTTATAGACTGATTAATATTATAGGTTGGAGGGCTATCCTAGGTATGTTGCCAGAAAGGAAGGTCATCATGCAAAATTTGAAACAGTGAGTACATATCTCTGAAAGCTGAGGGACTACCAATAGAGTGTGGTTGAACATGGCTTCCTGCATTGATAGTACAAAGACTAAGCAACCAAGGCATTTCTCTCCAGATATGAGAGAGAAGCAACTTCTCCCTATTCCACAAGTCACTTCTGGCTCCCTGATATGTGCCCATGTTGGCCTGCATCGTAGGTAGACTACACTGTAGTGGACTCACTAAATCAATTGCGGAATCAACACTTGTGTGAATCTCATTTATTTAATGGGTTTTCTTTAATTGAGACTAGAAATAGGATCTAGACCAGTGGTTTCCAAACTTTTTTGACCTGGAATCACTTGACCAGAGACCACTTTGACCAGAAACCCCTTGAAGAGGGACCACTTTGACCAGGAACCACTCTCCAACATTAGTACCAAAAGAATTACAAGTCCGTTTTTGGTCAACTTAAATTCAGTTTGGCTATTTGGAGTGCTGATTCAGAAAATTGCATTGGATAGACCACATCAGCTCTAGTAGTCATCTGCTTGCCCCACAGAAAACCATATTTAATAATCTAGAGCTGATGTAGTAGTAAGCTTTCATGGGTAGTCACCCTCTCCCCTCCTGACATCCGTGTTGCCTCGGCACTATAGGAGGTTTTCATGAGACCAGTCACTCTTGTTGCTGCATGGTTTTGAGGTAACGGTGTAGTAATGGTGAAATCATAGACCATATTTTTTTATTATTGTGGACCACTAGTGGACCATGGACCACAGGTTGGGAACCACTGATCTAGACCATGATTTTTTTTAATCAACATGCATGTTTCCTTCACCTCTTTACAGACTCATAGATTCATCAAATAGTTTGTGGCCTACCACTTAAAATATGAATTGTCCATAAATGTGATTGGATTTCATTAGGTATTCACATAAACATGAAAATGTCCCTTTTCCCTCCACTTCAATGAATCCCATAATGTCCTGCAGTTTAATCTCCCTCTCAGATTATTCTGCATTTTTAAATGTTTATGTTTCATCAGTACTTGAAAAGGTTACTTTTGTGGGCTACAGTTCTCACAATTTTTTGAACCATGCTGGTCTGGAAATTCTAAATATTGTAATCCAAAAAGTAATTGTATTCAAGCTCTGAGATATAACTTCTAATTTGATTATTTACTCCTTCAAGGGGCATTAAATTTCCCCTTGCCTGAGGACTGTAAACATTAACTGTGCCACATATAATAACAGAAACAAGCACTCTAGCTATATGTCTATATCTTGTATCCCTCCACTTGTACCTTATCATCCCAGAGCTATAAAGCATTTTATTCACTATGGGTGAATTCAAGTTTACTTGTCATTCTGCAAACATTTTTTTCTCCTCAGCAGTCAGACAAAGAATGCAAGCAGGGCCCAGCTGAGCCGGCACAGTGTTTTATCAATTATTGGAGGAGAATCAAGACCCTGCTGTGAGTACCAGACCTAGAAGAATGAACTGAAAGGGAGGGAAGAATGACTAGCTTTTCTTACCTCAATCCCAGACACATTACTTAGCAAGTTCCATTAATTTTAGTGGGTTTTAACTTC